GATCAAATCAGACAATATATATCAGAGTGTAGATTCTCAGTGCTTCTAAATGGAGTTGGTTTCTTTTCTTCTTCATGGGGACTTAGTCAAGGAGATTCTATCTCTCCATCCTTATTTATTATTGTCACTGACTACTTTTCTCGATCGCTTACTCAGAGATTTCAAACATATCCTAGTATGCAGTATCTACATGGAAGTAGTACTATTGTCTCTCATCTTACTTTTGCCGATGATATTATTATATTTACCAACGGACAAAAGAAGTCTATCAGAAGAGTCATCAATTGTTTGAAGCACTACGAGGGGGTCTCTGGCCAATTGGTGAATAGAGATAAAAGTAGTTTTATATTACCTAGGCGGGCATCTGATATTCAGATACGAAGGTTAATGACTTTGACTGGATTTTCACATCAGACACAGCCGTTCACATATCTAGGAATTCCTTTGTTTAAAGGGGCTAAGAGGAGCTTTCTGTATGATGATCTCATTATGAAGGTCAGGAGTAGGATTTTTGGATGGGCTTCACGCCTTCTTTATCCTGGTGGTAAGATTACTCTACTGAGATCTGTCCTTTCATCTATACCATTGCATCTATTCCAGACTCTGCGACCTCCTAAGATCATTTTGAAAAGGCTGGAAAGTATATTTGCGCGATTCCTATGGGATTCTTAGGCTCATGCGTCATCTACATTCGCGGAGTTGGAAGGCGATTTGCCTTCCTGCTAACAAGGGAGATATGTGCTTTAGATGATTATAGGATACGATGGACACATTTTCATTGAAGCTATAGTGGTTGTTCAAGTTTCAAAGTTCTCTTTGGGCTCAGTTTTTATTGGGCAAATATTGTAGAGAGACACATCCGTNTAGGATTTTGGACAATTACTACAGGCTCTTCCATCGGCTAGGCAAAGCAGATTATCGCCATTCTACTATTCCTGATGTCTCAGATCGTATTTTCTGGAGGACCACATCAGATGGTAGATTTACTACTAAATCAGCATGGCAGCTGATCTCTAGCAGGTCAATACATGATTCATTTCGCCTACTGTGGAGCCCTATCATACCTCCTACCGTTTCGTTCTTCTGTTGGAGATTATGGCAGGACTCAATACCACTTGATGTCATTATGCAGAGGAGGTCGGCAGTCAGTTGGCTTCTCGTTGTCAGTGTTGTTCAGAGATTGAGACCATCCCTCATATTTTTACTGGTAGCAATATTTCAGATTATGTTTGACAATATTTTGGGGCTTATTTCAGATTCCCATGAGTGCAGTAGAGAGTGTCAGACAAAGATTTCTAAGATGGAGGTATTCTGGTCAATTTGCTAGGATCGGGCACATTCGCATCATTATTCCTCTATTGATTTTTTGGTTTCTTTGGACTGAGAGGAATAATGCTAAGCACAGAAACATACGTATGAGTTCGAGACGTATTATCTGTAGAGTTTACCTATAGTATCCTTCCTCCGTATTGGTAGACTATTCCGACTATCACACTGGCGTAATGACATCAACACTTTTTGGTATTTCTTTGACTCTCCCCCCATCTCCTCCCCCCTATCATGGTTTGGTGGCGCACTCCATCATTTGGATCTGTCAAGATCAACATCGATGATTGTGTCAAGAATAGGTTTGCGAGTGGAAAAAGCATCATCAAGGACTACGCAGGAAAATGTATCAGGGCTTTCTCAACTTCATATGGACAGTGTATGATATTAAAGGCGGAACTTGGGGCTATTTGTGATGGGATACTACTAGATAGAGATCTTGGTTTGTCAGATATTTAGGTTGAGGCGGACTCGACTGTAGCCATTCACTGTATCACCAAAGGTGGCAAACCATGGCCTATTCAGGGGATACTGCAGGAGATACTCAGACAGATTGCAGCTATCGTTTCCTTTGACAGAGATATATGGTTTCCCACATCTTCGAAGATGGAAACCAAGTCGCAGATACACTTGCTACCGAGGATCGACATCATCGTAGATATCAGGAATATAAACCAGCCGACCTACCACGACGTATCAGTGCACTTGTTCAAATTGAAAGATATGGTTTGCCCATCACTAGAGTCTAAGTATTTGTTTTTTGCTTTTACTTTTATTTTTTCTTACTCTTGTGCTTTTTGTAAGGGAGTAGCACTCCTTTTTTTTTGGCTGCTTTCCTATTATTTTTTAATTTCATTGTAAAGGAAAAGTACTTCCTCATTTATTAATGTTATTGATTTCATTTGTAACAACGGTATTCCTCCACCACATATTAATAAAACTCGGATGTTGGTCCTCCTTACACAAAAAAAAAAAAAAATGTTAAAATATAAGTAATAGAGCAAGTTACCAACTAAATATTTGTCGATAATTTGAAAAAAAAAAAAAAGAATAAACTTGTTGACACCCACAACATCTTTTCATTGATCATCGACCGAAATGCCAACAGTTTCATCAATGACTTCGCAGATAGTAATCGTTAATGTGGCGCATAAATAATAACAGATTGAATTATTATCAATATATTTATTTCCACAAGAATATTCAACGATTACCTATGTAATCTGTGTCGATGGTTATTTACTCCATTCAAAGTTTTGTTTCATTATTAATATTCAAAGGTTCGTTCAAAGATTTGATCTAAAGTCTCCCAAACTACTTGAATCGTCTCAAAGCGAGGTGCCCAACTTTAAACAGAACATTTGATAGAAAGTGTCGATTCCAAGCCATATTTTATTTAAATAGAAAAGTACTGGAGTTGTTCAGTCTAATTATTCTTGGGTGCACTAACAGAAAATTGCATGCTTTTAATTGCAGCCATTCAACAAGAACCACCACTTGCCAACAAGATTAATTGACTGGACTGAACATCGATGAACTCAATTAAAGAATCAAAATTATATATTTTACTTAAAAAGATCATCATCTCTTTCGATATGTTAATGGAGTGAACAATATTGAAGACAATTAATAAGTTATAGTGTTCTATTGTCGTCAAGTCAAGTATTAAGAATTGGGATTCCATCTTAAAATGTCAACCTTATTAAGAGGAGTAACCCAATCTTTTATAAGTTGTTTTATGTTTATATCTTTATTCGATGTGGGATTCTATCCCTTAACATGCCCCCGCAAGATGGTGGCTCGTTTGAGCAGACTAATCTTGAAATCCGTATGCTCACTTTTAGAATTTTAACCGGATCAGATTGCTCGTTAAAGTTTAATGAGCTCTGATACCATATTAAGAATTGGATTTCATCTTAAAAGATCAACCTTATTAAGAGGAGTAACATAATATTTTATAAGTTGGTTTATGTTTACATCTTTATAAAGTACTATTGAACTAACACAACTAAAACAAGCAATCCAAAACAATTCACCTTTGAAAGCTAGACTAAAAAATTGACCATACACTTTTGAAGGATCCACCTGTCAAGATGGAATATAAATCAATAAAAAAATTTTAAAATTTTTTTTAAAACTTTAGATGAAGTGATTTAATATTATAATGAAAGTAAATAAAAATTCTAGGTTATGCCTCATTTTCACCTAATCATGAAACTCACACGTTAGACATTTAATAGAAAATTGAATTTGGCGTGTATCGTAGAGCCCATTTCTAAATATAAATTCAAGTAAATAAAAAAAAAAATTTGTCTTGAATAATTTAATTCTTTAATATGGGAAAGTGCTAAATATGTGGACCTAAGACAGATCTATTCCTATTTCATAGTTATTGGCACTAAAATAGTATAGAATTTGTCACAAAAGGATTAATATGCACTTTCGGTGCACTAATCTAATGGCATATTTCATTTATTAATCGAATTTGAATTGGCTCAAGATGTGAGACTTGAATCAAATGTTCTTTTGCTAGTGGAATAATCAACTGTCAGTAAACAATTACGATTAATTGATACCCGTTCGTTCATTTTGTACGGTTAAAATAATATAAATTCCAATAACATCCACCAATACCCTAAGCCCCTGTTTGGTTTGAATTAAAATCTGATTAAAATCTCAAGTCAAACTCAACAATTAATTATAACCACACATTTCATGAGATCCATAACTTTTCGATAAATGCTATGTGTACACCATGAGGTGTACACACGGCTTTACACCCCCCTCACATGGAGGGGGGGCCCACGAATATTTTATTGTGTGTGGGCCCCCCTCGATGTGAGGTATGTAAAGTTGTGTATACACGTAGTATCTCCCTAACTTTTCAACCATACATTTCATCAACTTTTATCAAAATTTATTAAAAATTTGATTTTAATTTCTACCAAATAAGGCTTAAATAGTAGATATAATAGAAGAATCTTAATAATTAACCTTATGCACTTCTAACATATTCTATTGAAAACGCACAACTTTCTTTATAGTCGGGACATCTTGTACTTGATTGCTTGCATTAATATCAAAGTCGGTACAACATCATGAATATGGACACAACTAACCACCCATAATGTTGCAAATAATAACATATCTATAAGATGGTATGTCCTTGTGGCAGACAACTTGATTCTATCAAATTTGCGGCCAAGATCACACAACTACCAAATTTGTAATTCAAGCAAAAGTAGATAAAGGGAGCATCACCTTCCATTGATTCATTATGAAGCAAATTCTAATTTTTTTTCATTCTTTTAATTCAATTAAGAAAAAAAAAAGCTTCAAGAAAACCCTTTTTTGATTCTCACAAGAAAAACAACGCCATGCACCTAACAATAACATCGATTTGATTCTAATAATCTAGAATCGAGAGAAAGCTACACATCATTGACTAAAATGAGACTTTTATCGCATTTTAGAATACCAAGTGGTCACAAATGAAATGCTCGGGATCCAAGGGCATTGCCTTTTCCCTTGTCGACATTTGCATTTAGATAGTATGAATTTAACGGAATTTCCCTTGCTTGACCGAACAACAAGAATTTCAGCTTTTATCTACATGGACTCGAAAACTGTACTCTTAGAATGTGCATGTCCTTCAAGAAAATGGGTGTCTGAATCTATAGTTGAAGAATATAGAGCATCAAGAAGGTTGCTGCAGAAGCAACTGGAGTGAAGTGCAAGCCAGAATTCGAAATGGTGTTCGATGAACCACCTATGACAAAATTTGGTAGCCACGCGGGCAGGTTATCTTGTGAACCCGAACCATCTACTGTTCCTGTAGCCAATGGTGGCTCGTCTGTTGTCCCTGGGGTGGCTGGTGATGAAGAATCCCTGGAAGATTTCTGACTACAAGAAAAAAGAACAATTGGTTTTTACCAAAAGGATATAAAATTGAGAGTATAATGGCAAGATACACAAAAAAAAAAAGTTCATATTATTTGGAATCTGCTTCTAGTTAAAACTATATGACATCTGCAGCGAAAAACTTCTTGAAATGGATCGACGGAGACTTTTACTGATTTTATGTTTTGAGTAGAAAAAGAAATTTCTTAATTGAATCGCGAGAAGAATTTTCAATTCAAAGACTTGTGCAGTAGACCGAGTTATAATCTGATGCTTTTGACAAGTTATGCATAAATTTATGCATCCTAATCATATTTGATCCTGCCATGCACACAACAGTTCAAACCGGGATCCGATAGGACCACCTCGTCTAAAATAAAACCCAGCTCCTGTCAAAAGTATACCGGACTTATTTATCTCATCGAAAGACTTGACATGTGCACAATTCATATAAATAAATGGTAACGAGACTTGAATCCGGAACCTTTGTCTACCCCGATACCATGCTAAACTACCTCTTCCGAAAGGCAAGATTGTAAAAACAATATGAATTTGCACAAAAAGCAAACCAGATACTTTTCTGGGAAGGAAAAAGGCGAAAAAAGAATTCACCTAATGTAAAAGAAAGCAAGTCACTAAAAAGATTCTTCACAATTTCCATCATTGATACTTTTATTCTCAATTGATTAATCATAAAGTCGTGTGGAAATTCTTGCTCTTGTTACTTTCACTAGAAATATAAATTTCTATTAAATCACCGCCTCATTGACTTGTATTTGTATCTTCAATGTATGCATGTCAAATTCATTCTTCTTTCATAGTTCAGATATCAAGAAATATCAAACTTTACATTAAATATATAATAGAAATGATCTCCTGCCCACAGTGAACATGAGTTATAATGCCCACCGCTGAGTCAAAAAAACACGGTTTGATTGTTGATGTGACATCATCAGGGTGGGCAATTGTTATCCTACTCATAGAGATTAAATGAAGGACGGACGACTTGAGTACTTAAAAATACACATGTTCATAAGAGTGGCTTGATTTCACAAGGACTTGAGTACTTATTTCAAAAGACACGTTCATAGGAATGACTTGATTTCATAAGAACGGACCTAGCATATTGTAGTTCTTGGTTTGAATCTTTCATTGGATCTAACAATAAACTGGACGAAGTGATGTTCGATTCTGAATTTACTTGGAACAATGCGTGAAAAGAACCCGAAAGAGATTGAAAATAAGAATTGAGTGTATCATACACGGAAGGATACTAAGTAGAAACGAATCAAATTTGAATCAGGCCTTACCTTGTGGTTGAAGGGCAGAATGTAATCGTGTAATCTGCTCCGCTACATGTAAATGTACTTGTAGCATCATCGTATGCATAGCTATACGATTTTGGGCACGCAGTTTTAAAAATCTCGGAATAAACGGACGGCCTACAGGCTGCAGGAGTACCATACGCGCCGCTGCAACAATATTCAGGATTCCCAAACGCTTCACACGCACTCTTGCATGCTTTTCCATCTCCTGTCCGCAGCTCATTCGGACACATGCGATTCAAGTCGGTCACGCAACCCGTGGAAGAACAGGAACCTGACCCGCCACTGGCCTCGACAATCATTGGCAAATTGTAGCCATCCACAAGGCTAACATCGTAGAAGTCCTGAAGACCAGAATTGGAACCCGACCCGACTGTGAATTCCGCTAGGGTTGCTGGTGGGTTTGCTCCAGCTCCATTGCACTCCACCTGGTTGGACCCACAATCACCGGTGGCGCAACTTCCTTGCCCGGTTATTCCGTCGAAAAAACAGCCGGTTCTGCCCCAAAACCTCCCCGACCAGCCCGGCGGAGCTTGAAATGACCGCGTGCCGCCAGGCGGAAGTTCAAATCCCGTGCTATCCAACCTGGAACTGCCCGCATTGGCTAGTATTCCAGGCCATACTACGTAATCACACCGATTTATCATGGTAAATGTAGCCCCAAAACTACCTGGAAAATAGTAATTGAAAACGCCATTCATGATAAATGAGAATACACCCACAAATCAAATGATTAAACACCTTTGTAGTTCAATCTTAGCCCTTGTTTGAGCCCATTATTTCAAAATTCATTTTTTCAACACTCATTTTTAAATGCACTTTCTCTCATAAAATAATTTTACACGTAAACAAAAAAATTTCCTTATTTTTCTACTATACATTCTCCAACTTTTTACTATTCCAAAATGCATTTTTTTGATAAAATGGAGCCAAACAGGGGCTTAATAGGGTTTAGATTCTACTCATGCAACAAGAAAAATGGGAAATACAAAATTTGAATATACCTCCTGTCATCACTACAAAAATGAAGATAAGAATATGGAGAGAAAATTCTGAGGACATTTGGAAAAAAAATTGAATCCAGAGGTTTAAGTACACGATCACTGCACAAATCTTCTCGTTTAAACTTCAATTAGAATCTCTCAGTGCTGCTGCAATGGAGAGAAGAGGAAATGGAGTGATAACTCAAGGGTTTTTTGGAATGATAACAGGCTAATAGACAAGAACAATGGGATCTGAGTTGGGTTCTACTACCCATAAAACTATCAAAATTAAGCAGAATTATTTTATAGAGAGATAGGAAGAGTGAATGAGAGAGATAGCCGTCTTAAGCCAGCTTGATTAGAACCCTTTATCTTATATAGAGAGATTCGAATTTTCCCGTGTAATTATTATTCACATTTTCGTCATAGATTATATAATGTTTTACGAATTCACGATGTGTCAAAAAGTGATTGTGCTATACGTATATCACCATTTACAAATTTGTTTAACAACAGAAGATGATGTAACTAAATTTAATTGTGTCAAAATCTCATAAATCAAATAAATGGTACATGCACATGTATCATTTACATGTACATCACCATTTACAAATTTGTTTAACAGAAAATGTGACGAAATTTAATTGGGTCAAAATCTCATCAATCAAATAAAAAAAACCTCCTCATTTTCTTTTTGACATCTCATCAATCTGTAAAACATTATGTAAATGATGATATACAACAGACATTTTCCGTCAAAAAGAAAGTATGAAAGTTTTTTTTTTTTTTTTTTTATTTGGCTGGTGAGATTTTGACACAATCAAATTTCGCCACAGCATCTATTGGTAAACAAATCGATAAGTTGTAATGTACATATAGCATAATCGATATATTTAGTGATTGTTCGATATAACTAAAGATTTGATAAAAAGAGATTGTATATCCTACAAAATAAATGGTAGAAAAATAAATAATAATTGTGAATGTAATAATTAATTTTGATCTTAACTTTTTGACAATTTTTAAGCTCCTCTAAACAAAAAGTCGCTTTTGTTGGCTTTAGATGTAAGTCTATAAATATCTCTTTTTAAAATATAATTTTTATTGTGATTTGAGTGAATAATAATTATTGATTTGAAAGAAACGGAATTCCATTGTTGTACGTAAGGAAAATACTCATATATAGAATTTTGATTGGACTAACTTAAAGAAGGGTCCATACATCAAAAATCAAAAGCAAATGGCAAGTTTTTCAAAATATAAATTGAATTGACCCATTAAATCGAATATCTTGGGTACGACATGTATTTTTTTAAAGGATAATTGCATTAGAGGCATCAAGCCTTTCAAAATGTGTAAATTATACCCAGATCTATAAATCATTGAAAAGGAGGTCCCAAACCCTTCAAGATTGCGCGGTAGAAGGATCTCTAGACAGTTTCGATCTAGAATTCTTTTAGTTGACTCAAAGTCGGCGTTCGTTCACGGTGTAAGCAATTTGAAAAGGATTAAATAATCTTTAAATTTTTAATTAATTAATTATAAAATTTACATCGAAGGTCCTAAATCTTTCAAAAATGTGCAATGAAAGTTTTAAACCTTTAATAAATGCGCGCAGAAAAGACCTCTAAAGTTTTCCATCCATATATCAATCAGCTGACCAAAATTATTCGTCTTTCCCAATTCACTCATCCACCCAACCCCCAATGCTTAAATTTGGGTTAAAAATCCAAATAGCCATTGAACTTTGCACAATATTTTTTATTGATCATCAAACTTTAAAAGTTTTTCAAATGATTATCAAACTTATCAAATTGTTATCTCATTGGCCATTGAAAGTTTAAAGGTTTGGAACTTACCTAACTTTAAAATTCGGCGCATGTTTATTAAAGGTTTAAAACCTTGGCTGTACAAATTTGAAAAGTTTGGGACCTCCGATGAAAATATCCTTTTTTAATTAATTAAAGGTTAAAAATCAAATTACGGCCAAATGCTGATTTTTGAAAGTTTGAGACCTCCACTGCGATATCCCTTTTTAAGTTTGATGAACGGTTATGTTTTATTTCAACAATTTTTAACTATCAAAATCTACACAAACCGTACACAAACAATTTGATTCAGTTCAAAATCAAAACGTTGACAAATCCACGTTGATCCAAATCGGCGATTTCAAGACCATGATTTCAGTTAAATTTCAAAGGTTAGCAGATCTTTTGTTGACCACAGTCAATCTCTTCCGACTTTAGAAGAGCTCTGTTGTCTCGGAGTTACAATATCAGTTTCAACAAAGTAATTTAATGATTAGTAACTCCAAGGAAGGCACCTAAAAATTCCACATTCGAATAATGCCAAAATCATGTAAGAAATTAGAGTGGTAATTCTTGTTTAGGCCCAAACTTTAGGAAATTAATTTTGTATTAACGTTGTAGTAATGTGCGGTGCACGTTAGCTTTTAGACGTCCAAAGCACCGCCCATAATGAAAAAAAATATAGTTTCCCCTCGTCTGTATCACTGTATTTATGTGTATTTCTTAATGCAGTAAGGCTTTGTTATTATGGACGACACGTGAAAATTAGGTAATCGTACTGCTTTATTATCATTAAACATTTGAGTAATCAGTCGACAATGACGATGAGTCGGCTATCTATAACTTTTACATGTCGTTAAAAGAATAAAACACTTTTAACATTTCATGATGGACTCTTGAGACAAACTTAAGCCATAATGGATTAAAACTAGTTTAAACTAATTACTTGTGTATACGAGAAAATCTCCACATAAATGGGATAATATGCGCTTGAAGATGATCTCGCTTTGACTATGTGTCAAAAACATGTCATGTAAAATGTTTACATCACGGTTTTTGTTACGGAGAATATTGTTGGGACCATTTGAATCCACTTGTTGTGAAAAATTAGAAGAGATTAATGAAGTAATATGAAGTATTGATTGCTCACCAAACAAGAACAAGTTTAAAGTAAAGAAAAGAAAACATTGGTAGATGAACCGATATTTTTTTAAACAACCAATTGAGAGAAAATACAATTTCAACAATTTTTGCTCTTAATAACTGAACGAAGAGTCTACTATTTATTGGGTAGATGTCCAAACTCAAGATGGAAATAAGATAAAAACAAATCGCGTGAAGTAAAGGAAAACATATTTTCCCAATATTTTTCCGATAAAACGCTTGAAATAAACAAAATAATATTTTTTCAAATACGTGTAAAGAATGAAAAATATATTCCCAAAAATTCCAATCTAATTTGGGTTACAAAATTCAACAATCTCCACCTTGACATAAATTCTGGTGCAACTAACGAAACTCCAAAATTTCTCCATCTGGAAAAATAAATTCGACTGCATCAGAATAAACAAATCTCTTCATTCAGTACCAAAACACTTCACCTCTCGAAAAACATCACATTTACCCAGTGTCCACAAACGACACTCGAACCCAACCCGGGGTTACCAAAATTCCAACAAAGAATTCAACAAATACCAAACAGGGTCGAAGCATACCCTGTATCAGAATCCATGCCAAATGCTTAAACTGAAGACCCCTTGCTAGAACCGTCACTTTCAAACACCCCGAAAGCATGATCACACACATCTGAAACCCGGTACCTATGCTCCATGAGTCCTCCCCTAGCAAATGACTCAGAGCCCAACACGAAAGGTACTGTACTGAACTGGATCTCTTCCAGGGTACTAAACCTGTCCAGGTGTCTCTTCACTGGTTCTATGCGTCCCTACAGGATATACAATTGAGAACTCTTCCGTCATACCAACAAAACATGATGACCCCTTTGGACATTTAAGACTCCACCTCCACCGAAGAATGTGTACCCATTAGAATCCAGGGCACCCGATGAGATGAAATTCTTCCTTAAGTCTGGAACATGCTGAACCTGGCCAAAAACTCAAAATGTCTCATCCAATAACCTCAATCTGACCCGACCAATTCCAGCAACCCTACAAGATTGGTTGTTTCCGATGATAACTCCACATTGCTTCACCGTTTCATATATTTCAAACCAAGCCCTATTAGGACACATATGAAGCGAACACGCTGAATCCAAAATCCACTCCTCATCCGGTTTAGATTCCATGTCAAATACGGTCAACACTACACCTTCGCCATCCGAAAATCTCTCGACAATATTAGTCTTGTCCGAATGATCAGATTGTCTCCCATGATTTGCAGATAAATTACATTTACCATGCAACTTGTCGCAATCCTTCTTGATGTGTCCTTTTCTCCAACAGTAGAAACAAATCTGATTGCTGAAGTTCACAATCGACCTACCCCTCAGTCGATCACTGTACGAAACTAGAGCTTCATCATCCTTAACTCCAATAATATGCTTCATCTTTTCCTTTGAAAATAAAGCATCATGAGAACCATCAATGGTGAGTGTGTCATGACTGTACAAGATCGTGTCTCTAAACGACGAATACAAAGCGGGCAGTGAGCACAACAGGATCAAGGCCAGATCATCTTCATCATACTTGACTTCTAACGTTTCTATATCAGCGACGATTTCCTTGAACACGGCCAGATGGTCCTCTAAAGAACTCCCTTCTGCCATGCGATGAGAATAAAGCCTCTGCTTCAGATGCAACTTACTCGCCAATGCCTTCGTCATGCACAGTTGCTCCAGTTTTAACCACAATGCAGCAGTTGATTTCTCCTTAACCACGTCCTGAATAGAAAGATGAACATGAATCATAGACAGCGCCTTTCGATCCTTCTGTTGTTTCTCCTCTGTTGTCCAAGTTGTTGGCATTTTATCAAAACCCAATAGAGTATCGTCCAAATCCATCTGTGCCAAAATTGCTTTCATCTTTACTTGCCACAGAGAAAACCATGTATTGCGATCCAAAAGCGGAATGTCATACTTTATGACAGCTATTGAAACTAGAAATCTCAAATAAATTAAACATGTAGTTCTGATACCACTTGTTGGGACCATTTGAACCCACATGTTGTGAAAAATCGGAAGCGATTAATGGAGCAATATGATATATTGATCGCTCACCAAACAAGAACAAGATTTAAAGTTAAAAAAAAAAAATTGGCAGAGGAATCGATATTTTATTAAACAACTAATGGAGAGAAAATACAATTTTTGCTCTAAAAACTGAATGAATAGTCTACTATTTATAGGGAAAATGTCTAAATTCAAGATGGAAACAAGATAAAAAGAAATCATGTGAAATAAAGGAAATAATATTTTTTCAAATACGTGCAAAGAAAGAAAAATATATTTTTAAAAATTCCAACCTAATTTGGGTCACAAAATCCAACAAATATATAGATTCTACAAAAGAATGGAAAGAAACAATTCAACCTTTTATTTGTGTTGATTTTATTTGGGTTTGGAGATCACTTGTACGTAAGAACAAAATCCGCGAAAAAAACGTATTTGTAAATTTAGTTTTTAATTCTAATTAATTTATATCATTTTGAATGACAAATTATCAAATAATATAGGAATTCAAGTTAATTTTGGTGGGAGAGCACCATAGCCGTTGATTGTGTCAAATAATGCCACCCAAGTATCATGATGAAAAATTAATAATAATTTAGTCTAGAATCAGGGCTTTGCTCTTACACACAATGTTTATTTTGTCTTGATTGCTTTTTAATGGAATTGGATTCCTAATCATCTCACAAAGAATATTTGATATATGATCTTTTAATTCATTGAGATTGGTCGATATTTAATGAAAAATTTAGTCAAGTTTTTACAAAGTAGGAAAAACTTTGGAGCTCATAGCTTAGGTATATTTGATATGTTAGAATGAACATGATTCGAACAGTTAGTTGAAAAAGTTTACAAAACAGTAGAGATTTCGAAAATGAGAGAAGAGAAAATGGAATATAATATATTAATTTATATTTCTTGAATTAGTTATTGTTTTATAAGCTTTTATATGAAAACATTCTTGATGTGTTTTTCGATTTTGAAATTTAATTTCTGTATAAATCCTTGTATTATATTTATTGTTATGATTCTCTATTTCTTTGTATTTTCTCAAAGGAGGATCTTGGGAATGAATATGGAAACTTAACCAAGATTGTTAACATAAATTTTATTACATAACTAATTTCTTGTTCAATTATATTTAATCCAATGTATGCGACATGCCCTAACATGTTAGTCAAAAAGGCTAAATGTGGAGAATTTTCAAAAGTTAAACCATAAACTAAGTCCAATGGATGTGATGATTAGCAAACCACTCGTATAATTTATAATAAGAAGTGTAATCCATAATCTTTGAAGCTATATTGAGTACAAGTTACTACTAGGCCAACGTTATTGCCTACTTATCTAATGTTCTATTTTGAGTGTTGCTACTTTACTACTTGATTCAAGGATCCTCAACTTTAACCTTTTTTTTTTAATTATGTTTTTCTATGGGAATATTATATATTTAGTGTGTGTTGAATACGCTTTTGTCAAATATTTTAAGCATCTTGTTTAACATAAAATTTATTAACATGAAGCAACATCCTCGATGAGCAAGAATAACATGTGTTAGTGTAACTGATAAAGAGTATAGATGATATTCAAATCATTTTATTTACTTGAAATGATAATTTTCTCGGACTACTCACAACAGGGCGAAGGATCGTGTTCACAAAAACCTCTTTCTATCATTCAACCAACTCCTAACTCTTTGAGCTCTAAACAATGTCTAATATAATAGGAGTTTTACTTGAACTCCCAAAAAAATAATATTATTTCTGAATTGTAAAATTCTTTTCAAATACACAATTTTATAGATACCTTTTCTAAAAATGATAGTTTCCTCGAAAGTTTTATTACTAGATGATTGTATGATGTTATTGTTTATTCACAATCAGAAATTTGTAATTACTTGTTCATTTTTTAAGTTATGAAGTGTGATTTTCAAATTATACAATCAAGACGGTCTTTAGTATCACGGAACCTAAATCTCAAACTTATATGAATCATGTTAATATCAAACTTCTCTCACTATAATTGTCTTGTAATCAGAGCTTAATATTTTTCATCTAAAAATTTTTGACAGTGCAACACGTACAATTGCCACACCACAGTACCAGTATGAGCATTAAAGAATGTTGATGTATTGTCTTAAGAACACAAATTTATGGTTTGAACCAATAAATATTTTAAATCCTAAAAGTTAATTTTTATAAAAAGCCCATCTTATAAATTCCTTGTCTGCTCTTCGTGCAATTCAAAGGTTGACTGGTTCTTTGCATATAGTGTATGCAACAACTGCCTGCATCCACCCAGGGGTTTCAAATTTGAATTTTGATCAACAATCCCAAAGTAAGATCGTGCAAGAGAGTCAAATTTCGCGTAAAATACGTAAAATGCACAAAATAATAAGCAAGCATCTCATAGAAGTATGAAACAACTACTCTGCCTTGCTTGGAAGTACACCTTAGCATTGTCCAAACTATTTCTAACAAACATAATGCAGCAAGACAAAATTCCTGGCAGTTATGTTTACAGTACAGTAAATTAACTCTCCAAATCTAAAGGCTTACAACCATGCCCGAAATAACGCGCAACGTCTCAAGACTTTTCTCAAGAGACGAGATATTTGAAATCCCAACTTTAAGATCGCCTATTTGTTCAGACTTGTTTAAGTCTACAACTCATCCTTGACAGCAGAAGGCTCGGTATCAGCATCATCTGTAGGAGCATCCTCAGTTGTGGACGAAGATTCTGCTTCATTCGTGCTGGAATCCATCTCAACTTCCTCGACATCATCTTCCTCCTCGACTGAAGCATCAGGACTGATGTTGAGACTGCTTTTTACTGAGCTATAGATTCGGGAGGCAAAATCCTTTGGATCATTGAGGATGAAGCCACTCTCCATTAGTGCTGTTTGGTATATGAGTCGTGCAGTTTGCTTCACACTTTCATCCTAAAGAAGTGAAAAGAGCAATTAATGGATATGATAATAACATCACGAGCATCTAAACCGTGGATGAGAAATTGAGTTTAAAAAAATACCTCGGGGTCTTTTACAACTCTCTCCCTAAGCTCCTTGATGATTGGGTGCCTTGGGTTAATTTCAAGCACCCTCTTACCACGCATGTAAGCCTGCTTGCTAGCATCTGATAATGTTTGTGACTGCATTATCCTCTCCATGTTTGCACTCCAACCATATTTTGAGGTTACGACTACACATGGGGTGTCGGCCAAACGGTTGCTTATCTTTACATCATCAATGTTCTCACTGGCAAGAGCACTCTTCCACCATTTGTTCAACTCCTTAAATGACTCCTTGAGTTCCTTGTCTTTTGAATCCTTCCCAAGTTTCAGTCCCTCCTTGGACACATTCTGGAATTTCTTGTCTTCGTAATCCATCAGATATTGCATTAAATATTCATCCACTGGATCTGTGAAGAAAATAACCTGAATGTACAACAGAGGTTCAGTTGCGAGAGATCCCAAAATAAAAGTACAGCACTCGAGTAAAGCGCAAAACAAGGTTATTTCAAATGAGTAAAGCTTAGAAACTGTATACCTCATAATTTTTCTTTGTAAGCCTCTCAAGGAATGGAGATTTCTCCAACTGTTCCTTGCTTGTTCCAGTAATATAGAAGATATCTTTCTGTCCTGCCTTCATTCTTGAGATGTATTGATCTAGTGAAGTTAATTTACCGTCTGACTTTGTTCTGCAAAGGATGACGAAACAAATTACTTCTTCGGAACAATTTATTTTGGACAGAGTTGCAACTCAATTAAATTATGGACAATAAATATGCTTACGTCTCAAATCGAAGAAGTTTCGCCAGGCGGTTTCTGTTAGTTGCATCCTCAATAATACCAAGTTTAATTGACTTGCCAAATTCATTCCAGAATTTTGCATATTGACCTTTCTTCTCATTGCTGTCACTGGATTCTTCAATGTCTGCAGAGATTCCCAGAGATTATCAATTATGCCACAAACGTTTTAATTTTTGTTATGTTGCAAACTAAAGGTGATAAAGCATCTATTTCAGCATGTCATACCTTTCTTGTCTTGGTCATTAGATTCATCAGGGTCCTCCTCTGCAAGTTTGCGGATCATATCAAGGGCCTTGCGGATGAGTTTCTTCTTGATTGTTTTCAAACTGCTGTGCTGTTGTAGCATTTCCCTCGATACATTAAGTGGTAAGGTATCGGAATCAACAAGACCCTAGGGAATCAATAGGCCAAGCATTAAGAAAAATATCAAATATGTCGTACAATATCTTCACAAGAACTATCTGAGAGAACAAAAACTTACCCTCAAGAAGTTCAGATACTTTGGCAGAAGTTCATCAAATTCATCTGAAATAAAGACCCTTCTGACATATAATTTCAAATTGGATTTGTTTGAGTTGTAGTAGCTCTCGTACAGATCCTGAGGAGCCTTGGGAGGTACAAACAACACAGCCTTGAATTCAACATCACCTTCTGCCGTAAAGTGACTCCATGCTAGAGGCTTCTCATCATCAAAATCCTGTCAAAAGCAATTAAAATGTCGATCAAATGTAAGACACTGTTCTAACAGAGTAAAGAAAAGACCCAAGGGCTAAACTTGGGCAAAAACTACGTGTCAAAACTACCTTGGCAAGGGAGTGATAGAATTTAGTGTATTCTTCATCTGTCACCTCCTTTGGATTTCGTAGCCATATAGCTTTCACGTCATTCAAAAGTTCCCACTCATAAGTTGTTTTCTTCACTGTCTTTGTCTTAGGTTTTTTCTCGTCTTCTTCTTTATCGGACTCCTCTTCCTCTTCTTCCTCGGAAGATTTACTTTCAGCTGTTCACATCATTGTGGATTGCAATGAACAAATGAGTCAATTTAGACAACAAGTCCGATTACACATCACATAAGCAATATAAAAAGTGCACTTCTTTCAAGAAGATACACGCAGGTTATGCATACGTGTTTCATCTTCATCACTGGACTCGTCGTCATCGGCAGGAACCTCCTCATCAACTTCTTTGCTAGCCCAGAGGTGTATGGGGAAGTTGATGAATTCAGAATATTTCTTCACCAATTCCTACAATCACAGGCATTTAAGTAATTAGATCATGGTGCTCAAACAAAATAATACAATATAAAGAGAAACAGGCACATGTAGAATATGCTATTATAAGTGTGCAGGAAGTAGCGGTGAATATTCATGTCCTAAATCTGTTTATGAAAAATTGCCTCTGATAAATAAATTTAAAATGAGTTACAATAAACAAGCAACAGATCCAATCAAGAAGCAAGCCACTTATTCCAAATTCAATAAAATAAGATGCAAACGTAAACAATTAGAATTTCTCATTATTTTGAGGGATAGAACGTCAAACTTATGTCATTCATGAAGTAACACTGCACGATAAGGCCAAAAGCATTCACAATCTTTCGTATAACAGCCAAAGCTCATTATTAGAATAACTAGGATGTGATTCTCATAATTCATTGCAACTCGTCCTTCCATGAGTAGATGGCATAATTTGTCACCCTAGGCCATTGCAATGTTATGGGTATAGCACCAAGTGATGCATAGTTTTATAGCATCCACATACTACCTCTGGTAAAAAGGAAAATTTACCAATCCCTACTCTTGATTGGTCCCATCCTCACCGCCACTTTTCCTCATTTCCCCTCTTATATTCTTCAGATTTCAGCATCTCATAATAATTGATTTCAATTTTTAAACCTATTGTAGATTATTGAAACAGATAATAGCAAGAGTATGCTCATTTGGGTCATCGTGGATTAGAAAATGAGATCTCCTGCCATTAGAGCTGGATCCTTTTACAGAAGCAGGATTAGCTCAACTCAACTTGTTCACAATTATAATTCTCAAACCCATAAGAAAGATGACAATTATGTCAAAAGGATGTATCTCGCTGTTAGTAGTAAAACCAGGTGAGCGAGTTATGAAATATAAACGGTACTTAAAAGTGGACAAGGAATGGAGGTGGCATTCACAAAATGATTAAAAAATGTCTAGTTCTACAAGATCAGCTTCATGGGCATCACAAACAGCAAATTGTTATCAGCTGACTTTATTGTAGGAAAGGCAAGAACGAAAAAGCAACAGAAAACCAAAATAACATATTTAGTGCTTGTTTGGAAGAAATTATATATTTATTAAAATGAGCGGTGGATAAGTGAATAGGAGTTGTGGCTCCTACGAAATATGTGGTTAAAATGAAAGTAACTTTGACATTTAAACTGTAATGAGATTAAAATTTAAACCAAACAGGAAATAAGTCTACCCACCTTTAACTTGTACTCATCCAAGTACTCTTGAGCTTCATCTCTGAGGTGCAATCTAATTTCAGTTCCACGACCAAGTGGCTCGTTCCACACATCCTCAGAAACGGCAAAAGCTCCATCAGCCTTCGACTCCCACACATGCCTGCACCAGTCAGGTTTATGAATTATTATTTAAATCCTAAATAACCTCCCTTCTTGAGAAGAGTTGCAAATAAAAAACATACTGTTTGTCATCATTGTGTTTGCTGATAACTTCTACATAGTCTGCAACAAGATACACAGAGTAGAATCCAACACCAAATTGACCGATAAGGTTAAGATCTCCACTCGTCTGCATTTTCTCCACAAATGCTGCATAGACAACGTAATTCTGTCAACCAACCGGAAAAAGAACATGCTTCACCCATTTTCAAATCATAGGTGTGCATCCATAATTCAAGACATAAGTACCAGAAGTTCCAGACTTGGCAATGGTTCCCAAATTCTTGATCAAATCTTCTTTTGTCATGCCTATTCCTCTATCCCGGATGTAAAGTATTTTCTTTTCTTTATCCAACTTAATCTGCAGTTGAATTAGTAATTAGCTTCAGGTTCCTAAGGTCGCCAAATTTCTAGAAAAAAATATATATATTTAATTTCTATAACATTCTCCTCAAAACTGCTCATATAGAAATTTACTTAATTATGGACATCAGTATGGAACTAAAAACTTCCGATAAGAAACCATAAGCTAGTTAGTATTAAACTGCTTTGATCCGCAATAAACTGACCTGGATCTCGAGCTTAGCATTGTCGCCTTCACCCAAAACTTCCTTATCAGTAAGTGACAGGAATCTAATCTTGTCCAGTGCCTGAATCACCAAAAGAATTAACATTAAATATAACTCTTCACTAACTAATAATGAACAAAAAATCCAAAAGAAAAAAGAAATCTTACATCAGAAGCATTGGAGATCAATTCCCTCAAGAAAATATCCTTATTACTATAAAGAGAGTTGATAATAATATCCATAAGCCGAGACACCTCCGCCTGGAACTGAAACTTCTCCGCATTTGCGCGAAGAGATCTCCTCGAGATCGACTCAGCTTCCCTGAATCCCGCACGTACATAAGCATCTCTACACTCTTGAACGCATTCAAATTAAACAACGAGTCGCTAAAAAAGCCACTAACCTTTTAGTGACATCGGAATCTGTGGATAAACCACTCGGAACAGCGCCTATCTTTTCTTCCACCTTCGGCGGATCTACCGGCACGTCGGAATCACTTTCCGCGTGAGCTTGTATTTTCCTCCCTACATAATAAAATCAGTACACGTTAAACAAATTCGGATCCAAACTCACAATTTCTATTCAGATCTTCTTAAATTTTTAGGTTTATTAAAGCTAAAAATACCTAATCAGAATACGATTAAGAGATTAATTGAGTACCTTGATCTGGAAGGAGAGACAGAAGGCATAGTAGAAACAGAACGGAAGGTATTGTCCACTTCCTCATACTACAATTTGGTGTGAATTTTCCAGATAACAGAGTTTATTCAAATTCTTTTCATTTGGTTTTGCACTGAGGGAGTGAGTGTATATATGTGGAGATCTTGTACTCTGACGTTGCAAGGAGTGTTACGAGTTCGAGAGGTTTGATTGGTGGAGATTTGCTAGCGTGGAGGATCTGACGGCAATCGTTAGTTCGTTACGACGTGGCGAGAGTTGATTGGTTATTGCTGGTTTATTAGACGTGGAGAGACTCTTGGGTTCTGGAAGACTCTATAGGAAGACTTGGAATACCGGGTTTGTTACGTTGCATTATGGTCTGCTGTGCTGCACCATATTAAGGTGCTGTTCTCTTTGTGTT